TCATTCTCTTCAGCAGTCCAGCAGGTAAGTCATGTTTTCTTCCTTCATCTTCATCTTTATGTGCTTCATGAATGCATGGAGGATGTGATTTATTTGATCATTTATTTGTTCATTTATTTCACTTATATGATAGCAGATCATACAACTCAATGATTCTAGTTAGTAATCAGAGAAAAAAAATCTGATTAGCTAAATCTAATCAACTAAAAAGACTCAAACTGAGTCATCCCAACAGTGATCAGTCAGTTTATTTATTTATAATTTTGTATGTATTTATGTATATATATATATATATATATATATATTACATAATATTATTTTTAATTATATTACTATTTTTATCTATGTATTGTATGTATTATTTATATATCAAAATGTAAATATATTTATTTATTAAATACATAATATTTTTAAGCAAATTAATGTAATTTAATATAACAACTAATGATATAAAATTAAATATAAACACTTACACTTGATTTGGTTTACTGCAAACTATTATACAAGTACAGCACAGTAATTTATGCACAATAAATGTGCCAAGCCACTTTCTGTTTTTCTTACATACAGATGTTTTGAGACTTCTCTAGGGGCAGACACAGGTGGCGCTAAATACTTGTTTTCCTGTATTTCCATCTCTTGTCTCTCATCATTTTTTCATTTCTCTTTTGTCTCAATCTCTCTCAGAGGCTCAGGCAGACTTAGCACTGGACTGTTGCCTGATGGTTAGCCATAAAAGCATCCCTAAACACGTCCTCCTCACTTACCGGAAGCAGCTGAAAGTTGACGGCTGCCCCCGAGATGCTGTTGTGTAAGTATATAGTAGTCAACATTTGAAGTGGATCAAAAAAGTTCATCAAAGTTGTCCTAAGACAAGAGCACATTTTGGTTTAGATTTTAGGACAACTTTGATGAAAGGTTTTGATCCACTTCAAATGTTGACTAGTGTATTCTTCAAAGGAAACTATTGGACTGGGTCATGTGTGGGAGCCTGGGAGTGAATGAAACTATTTATGAGCACAATGTCAGACAAAGCAGACATGAAAGGGCGTATTTAATGGGAAAAGCAATTGCGCTTAACATACAATGCTCCAATTGTCTACTCTTCTAGTCAAATAATGTGCAAAAATCAACTATCTTTCAGATTCACAACCAGGAAAGGTTTGAAACTTTGTGCCCCACCTGCAGAGGAACAGCAGTGGGTTAAAGAGACGATCAAGTTTCTGGACACTAGGCTCAAGAAGTGCAAGGGAAACAAATTTCATGTACGTAATTCACCGTAGTTTTGTTTCCTCAGTCATGTTTAGTATCTGATGACATAAAGTTGGTTGCACAACAGGTGCATCATTGTTATTGCACGAGCCCTGCAGCAGGCCACTTTCTCCTTTCTGGTTTTCATCTGCCACATGACATTGTTTATATGTAGTAGATCATGATTTGTATGTTATGATCTTACTCATACAAAACCACAAACTATTCAACTGTGAAACCACAAGCCAAAACATCCTCCTACGGCAAGCTTACTGAGCCTTAAACCGACCACCAACATTGAGGACTCAGTCAGACTGTGGCGCATGTTGCATTATACATGTGCAGAAAAACTGTATTTTAAATAATGAAATTAGAATTAGTAACAGAATTCTAATAAGAATGCAACATATTCAAATATAAGAAGCATTAGAACAGTTAAATTCAAGGCAAGTAAAAGAGTAACATGCCTTTATGAGCAGGCTTTAACTAATGGTTTTCTCTGTGTTCTTTTATTTCAGGAGAAACGCTGTCATGCCCTGAAGAATTTGTCTTTTTGAGTGAACACATACATATATACATTAAATGGCAGCTGATGTAGTCGTTGTGACAGCTCACTTCTAACAGTTTCTGTAATACATTTAGGGTCTTCCTCTTTCAGCATTTTCATCCTAAATTATCAAAACATGCCAAGTTGTCTGACCTTCCCATAGTTGCTGTTGTGTGAACATATTCTTCTTGGTTTTTGTGTGTATTCTATTCTGATATAATCATTGTGTTGTTTTTGTTTATGTGAATAAATTTGTTGAAAAAAAAAAAACACAATTTGAAGATTGTATTCTTCAAAGTCCTGACTTAAGACATAAATGCATAAACACATGATAATGTGTATATTCTCACACACATACACACAAACACACATTCATCTATCTAAACAAGGAATTGCACTTAATTGCACTTTAACTGTACAGTAAGACAAAATATAATTACCATAAACTCTCCCAAACCCTAAAATACAACTTTGACGATTTAAAACTGAATAACAGTATTATTTATATAGTATTTTTGTGAATCATTTTTTATTTTTGTGTATCTAGGTCAGAAACTCATGAATGTGAGCATATTTATTTAAATGGGAACTTTTTATTGGGTCCTTAAAGTGAATTCCATTAATTAATCCTAACCCTAAAATACAACTTTTGGCTTTTGGAAGCCCATTATTTAGCGTCTGCATTAAGGTTTTGCTGCTTCTTTAGAGATTCTGTCTGATTTTATTTCCTCAAAGCCACAGCTGCGAGGTCACTACGTTTACATGCAACCAAATAATCCATTTGTAATCGGATTGACGGCTCAATCGGATTGAAAAACTTTCATGTAAACACCTTAATCGATCCGACTGAGCTCGATCGGAATGAAATTTCGATCGGATTGAAGGGGGTGGTTTATTCCTTTTCTAATACGATTGAGAGTGCATGTAAACACTCGATCGGATTGAACTCCAAAATTGAAAGAACTGCGTGCGCATGTGCAATGACGCAGAAATAGCGTAATGACGTATGACGCGCAGAAAGAGCGGTTTTTCCTTTTGAATAAAGTGTTGTATAAATGCGTGTCCTGTCATTATAAAACTCTCCTTTCACTCGGCAACTGTGAAGTGGAGCAGGACAACCTCCCACCAGTCCATGTTTTGGATTCTCATCCACAGGCAACCCGTTTTGGGAGCGGGGAGGGGCATTTTTACTGTGTGATAAATATGAGCAGCACGGCACAACGGTTTATATGTATATTTATCCATAAATGAGTAAATATTAATTCTGCTGTTAAAAACAAATAAATAAACTGAGTAGGAGAGTGGTTATTATGTGCAAACAGTGAGACACTCTATATTTGTGCAGTGTGCGCATGTCAAAAAAATCAATTCCGCCCACTAAAAACATCCAAAACTAAAAGCTAAAACTTTATAAATACTGCTACCTATACACATTTTAAAAATAAAGAGATTAAATAAAAATGACAAATGCATACAACAAAATTTCAAAACTTAACATTTAAATGAAAA